CCATGCTAATTTTGTTTTTTTTTTTTTAGAGATGCGGTCTTGCTATGTTGCCCAGGTGTGGAATTTCTGGCCTCAAGGGATCCTCCTACCTTGACCTCCCAAAGTGCTAGGATTACAGGCATGAGCCACCACACCCAGCTAAACTCTTCATTTCTTAAAGCCTAGCATGACCAGTAACAAAGTTACATAATAGTAAATGATAGACACATACAGTAAAATCCTAACAATACTACATGTTTTATTTTGCAAAATAACACTTATTTTTGAAAATTGGTAGAAATTGAACAGAAAATGATCTTAACTAGAATTGGATAATGCCAATGCTAGAATATAGCCCATTTTAGTAGTAATTTGCTGCCTCATCTTTCTTGTTTTGCCCTAGTAGGTTCTGACTTATTCTGGAGAGGAGTGGGAGGTAATATTAGCAAGAATTCTTGGGAGGCCAGAACAAACAACCTGCGTATGGTGAGTAATTGTTTCTTCATATTGATTGTTTCCTAAAATAGATATGGTATCATCTTTGTGTTAATATTTCCCTGGTGTAAGAATAAAAGAAATAAGCTATGAAAATTTAGACAGAAAGGATGACAACTGATAACATGATTTAAACTCTCAGAATTACAGTGCTGGAAGGGAACTTAGAGGTTGTTTGATTCAATCCAGGAATGGTGCAGGTGAGGAAACTGCAGAGTAGCTGGAATCAATGACTGGTCCTAGAGTCAGGCTCATTAAGTAACAGAAAATCATGAGATTTTTAAAGACTGAATTGTAGTTCCCAGTATAAACAGTGCCAAAAGTTTGAATATTCCCTGTTCATTTCAAATAAGCATTTCCAAAATGCGTTTCCACATTCCTGACAATGAGAACAGCCTAAATTTTACTTTATACTTACTGAACAACTTGAAAACTATTTGTATTTATTGTTAACAAAAGCTTTCAATTTTATGATTTTCTAGGATTGTCGGAAGAAACACAAAGATGCCAAAAGAAAAATGAAACCAAAGTAATAAATGTCAGCATTGGTGTTGATCCTGAATGTGAACAAGGCTCATGTAAGGAAATTGACCCAGAAAATAGTTTTAGCTGACAAAGAAGAAATTTCAGAGTAAAGGAATAGTCAAAATCCGGCTGATGGAATATATTCTGGTTGCCATCTTTTTCTATGGAATTCCTCTGTATTTCTTCCTCAGTAATTACTTCAAAAAATTAAACTGAACTTTTTAAAAATGAAGCACAAAGATAGTCCCCCTGAATACTTCTTGCATATAATCTCTTTGCCCTCCATCCTCAATAACTAATGAACAACTTCTGATACGAGGATTGCATGAAGGCTTTTTTAATAAATTGGTCAAAGCACTTATGTTTTCCAAGTTAGGCTTCGTGTAAATTATAGGTTATTTGGATTATTTATTTCTGATTTTGTCAAATACACCTTACCTCCATTCTGTAACTGTATAAAAGGATGAATTACAAGTCAATATTGAGTTCTACACTTGGTCCTGATGAATAGCTAACTGAAATGCAGGACATTTCAGACCAGTATCATATGAGAGTTCTGCGAGGACCAGGAAAGGAAGCCAAATACAGAGTTTTGCTGTCCTTGGCCTCTAGGAATTAGGGAACAACATAATGGAGGCAGGTCCAGGAATCCCAAAATTCTAGTTAGACTGGAGGCTTTTGAAAAATAACAAGTATCTAAAAGATATGTAGTTACAATTAGGAGTCAGGACCCTGAGTCAAGATAGAAAACAGATTTAATATTTCATTAAATAAACCAACCTTGCCAGGACTCAAGACAGATGTGTCTCCTATAAAATGGGCTCTATATGAAATAGTGTTACATGGACAGTTCCAGGGACTATCATTGAACCATGATATATCTAAAATTACCTTGGTATTTATTGATTTACATCTTTTTTTTTTTTTTTTTGAGACAAGAGTCTCGCTCTGTTGCCTGGGCTAGAGTGCCATGGTGTCAGGCTAGCTCACAGCAACCTCAAACTCCTGGGCTCAAGCAATCCTTCTGCCTTAGCCTCCCGAGTAGCTGGGACTACAGGCATGTGCCACTATGCCCAGCTAATTTTTTCTATATATTTTTAGTTGTCCAGCTAATTTCTTTCTATTTTTAGTAGAGATGGGGTCTCTTGCTCAGGCTGGTCTCGAACTCCTGATCTTGAGCAATCCTCCTTGGAGCAATCCTCCACCTTGGCCTCCCAGAATGGTAGGGTTATAGGCGTAAGCCACCACGCCCGGCCTATTTTTTAATTTTTTAACTTAACTTTTTCTTTTTAATTTTTTAATACCCAGCTAATTTTTTCTATTTTTAGTAGAGACAAAGTCTCACTCTTGCTCAGTCTGGTCTCCAACTCCTGAGCTCAAGCAATCCTGCCGCCTCAGCCTCCCAGAGTGCTAGGATTACAGGCGTGAGCCACCACGCTCGGCTTGATTTTCATCTTGCTTGAATATAAACTCTATGAGTGTTGGGATAGCGTCTGGTTTGTTAACCATTATGTCCCCACTCCCTAGAACTGTGCCTAGCACATAGTGAGTGCTCTATGTTTTTTTTTAAATAAATAAGAGTCCAAGGAACTAAGTAGCTTAAAGAGTTATTCTGATTCCTGTGTTTCTAAGACTTTAGATTTCAATAAGAATGGAAACAACTACTCAGCAGGATAAATAATTCAAATATTCTACCTTCTCTTGATGTAGATCACATTTATACCTTTTTAACTATTGCTGCATAGTAAACCATCCCTGTAACAATCATTTATTTTGCAATTTGGTCAGGACTCACTGGGGACTGCTCATCTCTGCTCTATGTTGTGTCACTGGGGTAGTTCAGGAAGAGCTAGAGAATCTACTTCTAAGGTGGCCTGCTCACTCAGTGCTTGTCCATCAGCTTCCTTAAAGCATGGCAGCTTGGCTCTAGGGGCACATGTTGCCAGAGGAAGAAAGTAAATGCTGCCAGTCTCTTAAGGCCTGGAACAGAAACAGTCTCAGAATCACTTCCACTGTATTCTACAGGTCAAAACAGACACAAAACCCGCTCAAACTCAAAGGTAGGGGACACAGACCCTCACTTCTCAGTGAGAGGAGTGTCAAAGAATTTGTGACCATAATTTAAGTCAAGTCTAGCATACACTCCATCTCCAAAGTAGACAAATAAGTGACATCAAGTGGCCTTGCCCACCCCAATTCCTGCTACCTAAATAAAACCATGTTCGACAATTGTATATTTCCTCTGATACTTATCTCCATATTTATACCTAAGATGCTTATGCTCTGATTTCTTGGTTTCTCAGTTTCAGATATAACCTATTTTCTTCCTACTGTGAAAAATGATGATTTACCTCTTTAATCCAAGTAATATATTTTGACCACAGTTAACTTTTTGCTGAAATTATTTCTTTTCAATTGCTTAACTTTTTTCTAGACTTAGTGTTCCCATACCTTCCAAAAGTCCTATAAAATGTTTCTCAATCCAAATTTTAAATAATCAGACTGTCAGTCTACTTAATTCATCTGTACCTTTTTTCCCTAGACACATTTGTCCAGAAATCCTCTGTCCTGCTCTAATCTGGGCTCTCTGGACAGGTGATAGAAATGAACTGAACAGCCACATGTGATAGCTCACACCTGCAGTCCTAGCTAATTGGGAGGCTGAGGCAGGAAGATTGCTTGAGCCCAGAAGTTCAAGGCTGCAGTGAGCTATGATGATGCCACTGCACTCCAGCCTGAGCAACAAAGCAAGACCCTGTCTCTAAAGGATACCAAAAAAAAAAGGAAGAAAGCAACTGAACAAAGTGGCAACTTGAGAAATAGTAAAGTTATAGAAGCATTAAGAGTTACCACTTTGATGGAGGACATTTAGGGCCTAGACCATAAATAATGTTGAATACATGCTAAACAGACTATCAACACATTCTTAAAACTAAGGAAATGCTTTCTACCTGTTCTAGGTCAGATCAATTTTTTTCTGTCCTTCTAAAGGATAAAATAGGCAGTTACAGAACTATTCTAAATTTGTCAAGGCCTAAAATTTCCTTCAGAGGGTATGGTGCCAAAGCCTGAGGTCTACTGACCTTTGCATGGCTCCAGACTTCCTTTTATTATTAACCAGATCTGAAAAGTACCAGGCAGACATATAGCAATGATAATAAGTAAATATGCAGGCTGGGTGGTATGGCTCACACCTGTAATCCCAGCACTGTGAGAGGCCAAGGCAGGAAGGTCACTTGAGACCAAGAGTTCCATACCAACGTGGGCAATACAGCAAGACCCTATCTCTAAAAATGAAAAATTTAAAAACTGGGTGTGTTGGCCTGTGCCTATAGTCCTAGCTACTTGGGAGGCTGAGTAAGGAGGATTGCTTGAGCCTAGGAGTTCAAGATTGAAGTGGATCTATGATTGCACCACTGCATTCCAGCCTGGGTAACAGAGTGAGAACCTGTCTCTAAAAAATTAAAATAAATTTTAAAAAAATTGTTTTTCATTACAGGAAACATTTTAAACAAAATACAATAAAAATTTTAAACTTGGTTGACAGGCCCGCCTTTCCCTTTTGTTATATCACTCCATATGGCCATTTACAACAGAAGCAGCTTTGGGATTTGCTGCTCACGGATCCACAGCATAATTCAGTAAGCTGCTGCTCGGAAAGTTTCTGTTTGGTGATACAAATTTTAGGTATGATTGACACGTGGTGAAATGAACAGATCCTAAGCGTCCAGTTAGATAAACACTGACGAACCTAAGATGAAGAATATGGGCCTCGCGGCGCCCCCTCCCGGCCCCCGGGGCGCCGCTTCCCAGTCCACCACCACCCACCCAGAAGTCCCTCATCCCGACTTAAGATCTCAGCCTGCCCCAGAGTATCAGATCCGAGCAGCACCCGAAACCCAGACCCACCTCCAGTTCAGCGTTACGGGTTATGGGTTCCCAGCACGCTCGCGGCTCACCCTCATGGCTGATGGGCGTGGCCAGGGACCCGTGAAGCCAATCGGCGCCCGGCTTGTTTGCGTGTGTCAGGTGGCGCTCTCTGATTGGCTGATGCAGAGGGGGCCCTTCCCTTTTGCCCCGCACTGTTTCATGGTTGCATCACCTCGGCACGCCGGCCTGCAGCTAAGACGCCGGCTTTCCCCTATGCTTGCTGGGTCGCGGGGCTTCTCAGGTACGTAGGTCCTCTCAGGTACGCCTTTTCCTGCCTGCGGGGTCCCTCAGGTGCACCATGTCCTGCTGCCGGGCCCCTCAGTTGCGCCGCGTCCTGCCCGCAGAGGCGAGAGTCGGCGCACGCGTTACAACCCTGAGACAGCAGCGCAAAATTTAAAATATCAAAAAAAACTAAAAACTTGTTTCTTCAGGGCTTGCCATGCATTAATTGCGTGTATATTTCCAAGGAGGACGATTGGGAAGCGGTCTAAGGTGGCGCTACAGAACTCAGAACTGGGTATGAATTTTGGCCTGACTGCTTGGGCCGAGGACTACAATCCTCGGAAGTTCCTCTGATACACACTGGGAACAGGGTAGTTCTTGAACTGTTGGATGGTTGTGAGAATTCAGGGTGATAGAGCACACTGGAGAAGTTCAGAAGGTGGGCGAGATTACTGCGAAGTCTAGGTATTCATAAGAACAAATCAAGGCATAGTTCCTAGTGCCAGGCTTCCCCTTCTGTGCCCGGTTCTCGTGAACGTGTATTAATTGCTGGGGACCTCGGGTCAGAAGGGTGTAAGCGCGGCGTTCCGGTCCTGAGCTCACTTGGAGACTGATAATGCAGGAACCAAGCGTACACCTCGCTAGCAGCACAGAGGAGGAAGACAACTTTTCTGTGGAATTTGGAGGTGAGACATGGAGGAGGCTTGTCAGGAGCTGCCATTGGGCTTTGGGCCTTGAAGATGAGTAGGAATGGGTGGTAAGAGGAAGAGTTCGGCCAAGGGCCTGTACACAGTACTGCAGGATTTGAAAGCACTGTTGTTGGTTCAGGAGATGAGAAGTCGCTGTCATTGCAGCTTAGGTTAGGATATATGTGAAGAATAAGTGGCAGATGGCTCTTAGTTTCCAGCCTTATGAATTTATGGTTGCCTTTTTGAATGAGGTTGTGTTTGAAATGTGTAAAACCTTTTGGAAATGATATATTACACATAACATGAATCGGTGTAACTGTGACTTTTTTCTTTCTCAGTAGATACAGGTAGTAGAGTCTCACTCTGTGCCCGGGCTAGAGTGCCATG